TAGCTTATTACCTACACTGTGCCTATTAATTCAAGAAATTTCAAAATTTAGTTGTTTTTTTTCGGAGGATTTTGAGTTTTTGGAGGATTTTTGCTTATAAATAATTTTTGACGATACCAGAGAATAGCTTTAATACCAGTTTTTAGAGGGCTAAACAAATTCACTCGTTTTCCCCATAAAAAATCAATGAAAACTTGAAGTGATTTTTGAGGCACATGATATAAATCGATTTTAAAAGTCCAATTTTTTCTAGCGCAGAGTTTTTAAAGCATATAGAAGATATTTTTACCGGAGAAGAGAGTCCTCGAATGTGGAAAAAGGTCCAGACTATCCACTTTCAGTGTCCGGTCTAAACTAATATCAATCTAAACTTACAAACTTTCGTAGATTTATGTCTAAAAACTGCTCAGTATATAAAGAAAATTTAATGTTTCACATCGTTTAATGTGTTATAAAAAATGTTAATCGATTTAGCTAATAAATAATCAGGGTCTTATCAAAGAAACAAAGTTGATGATGATTTCTAGGAAACCAAGCGTTGACAAATAAAATTGATAACGAACATTATTATTAATTAATTAATTATTAAATTACACTGACCGAATCTAGCTATAGGAAAGTGTAATTTGTTTTGTTCCAGTTTTGTTATTCATACCAAAAAAAAAACATTTAACCAATATGCATGTATAAGGCAGTGTTACATTTTACACTAATTTTTTGGTTTGATCTAGATAATTATACGTCCAAAATCTCCTGTCCCTGTTTGTTTCCACACATTTTTATTCAAAAACAATCTGAGCATTTTCTGAATATTAGTGCATATCAACAGAATAACAGGGTCTTATATATTCTTATCAACTGGTTACAATTAAACAATATATTATTATTTCTAATACAATTTTAGCTCCACGCTTTTGATATACCGACAATGTGCAGCGCAGTTGATCCTCCAAAGTGTGTTGCACTTTCACTTGACCTGCCAGTTCGACGCCACGTGACGTCCAAATTCTCTTTTGGATGTCACTTTTGACAGGCCAGTCTTTTGTAATCTTTACAATTTGGAAGTTGATGGAATCAAAATGACGACCCCAACAGCCCCCGTTCAAATTCCAAAGAAAGGAATTGTTAAACAGGTTAGAATAGCCAGATTTATTCATTTAAACTTTATTTATTTGGTGTGTAATTGCCTTAAATGGTTTCTTTCATTTTAACTGAGAATCCCCAGGCCTTTCTGGTGAATGCCATGTTGGCACCATAAGGTACTGTAAATAGTGGCTTAAAACAAATATGCCCTGAACTGTTTTAAGTGATATTTTAGTTTGAGGATGTATCTTATTCAAGAAATCTAATTTAATCTTTATCTTTTACAGATACTTCGCCCTAACCTAAGTGAATTAAGTCTCTAAACATGTGTTCTTATTTCAGGTCTTATCTGGAGACGCTGTTGTTATTCGGAGCCTGAATGGAGCCCCACCACCAGAGAAACAGTTGGCCTTTTCTGGAATTACTGCCCCTAAGCTAGCAAGAAGGCCTGGAGCACCTGGCGAAGGCTCGTAAGTACCTAGAGTCCCACGCTGCCCGGTTTGAAAATGTCAAGAGAATTGTACTAAGTATTATGCGGTTACATAAAACCTAATTATTTATAGTAAA